GTTTCATGTTTGAAATTATTATTGATTCATAAGTTTGGAGGTGATGATTTTCTTTTTTGTAACTGTACTTGACATGTTAGATAGTATTGTCAACTAAAGATGGTTTAAAGTTTGAAATTGTTATTGATTTATAACTTATAAACAAATTTGTTATTTGTGCCTAATTTGGGGGGGGGGGGGGGGGAAATCATATCCATGTAAGATCTAAATTATTTTGAACACAATAGTCATGACCAATTGTTGTTTAGGTCTGAAAATTATTGATTGATGGAGAGATTTGTGAATTTATAGGAACAAGTTGTGAGTTATTTGTAAATTTTTATCTACATATATTATCTACTTAACCCCATTGTGAGATATGTTTGCGGGTGGCCGAGTCGGTAAAGGAGATTATCCAGAATTGTGTTGATTTCATGGTTGTTGATTATATTTGTGTGGAGTGTCTTTGACTAACAAGTATAAACTAGGTAATGAAAACATACTAAGGATCTAAGTCCATTGCATTAACATCCTATGCCTCACTTTGTAGCCTTTTTGACCCCTAGTTAGTAAGTCCGTAGAGGTATCTCAAAACCCAATATCCTTTAGTCTTTAAAAATCTAGAAATCATCATTGGGGGCTTAGATAATTAGTGGATTTGACTTAGTATAAGCTTAATTATCGAAACCCTAAACTTTGAGGAGAATCATCACATACCTAGATTTTTGACATTGTCTATTAGCAGCAATATTATAGTGGTAAAAGAAATAAGTGATTTGAGAGCAAACTATAATTGAACATCTCAATAAAGAAAATATTTATATTTGTGTGGGGATGTGAATTTCACGAGCGGGAACCAATTTGAAAATTTTTTTGTCTTCACAATTTTTTTTGAAGTTTAGGTAATGATTGAAAGTAGCTATAACCCACACAAGGTTCAAGCATTGGATAAAATCAATTTGTTTTTGATAGCGTTATTTGGAGGCATATTTTTTTTTCTCCACATTAATAAATTCTTCATTCCTCGACTAATTGTTCTTATCACTGGCACGGACCTACGGTGGATTCGGGTGGGTCACTTGAACCTCCAACTTTTAGGTTTTTTATTTATTTATTTTTTTATTGAATCACAAATTCAGATTTAACATTTAGGCATTTAGAGGCAGACAGAGACACCCCTGTTGCAAAACTTTTGTGAAATCAGTTTGAAGAAACCTTGGAAAACCCTGCTGCACAAGTTAACACCCTCCTGCCCGAAGAAGATAACATTGACTTGAACACAAAAGTGTTCATCGTCTTCCAGAATTTACTTGAAGAGAATGTTCTAGAATTGCTTTTATATTTACCGCCATTCATAGATGACTGTAAAGAAAATAAATTTGCACAAAAGCATCCAAGTCTAGAAGAAGAAAGAAGAATCCAATTTCATAAAAAATTACCGCCATAATGAAATTATCCAGAACTTTACTGCCACATGAGAGCCTTGTAGAAGTGCAGCCCACCGTCATTGTTATCCATAAATATAGTTGATGTATGTATTGTATGTGTATGGAAGAAAGAGTGTGTGAAAGGGAAGCAAGGAGAAGGTGTGTGAGAGAAAATGAGTGGATAAAATATAGGTGAGGCATGAGTGTATTTTTGTGGTAGGCGAAGATGCTTGCTTGAGTAAATTAATAAAAGTAGTGTTCAGGTGGTCTTATGTTATCCAATTAAATTATGCAAATTATTTTGTTAATTTTAGTTGTGATTTAAACTCAACACAGCCTGCAAATTAAGTCGGACCTATTCCTTATCTCAAACCCTGATAAATAGTGCCCCTCTAATTCAAAATATCAGCATCATCACTGATTTTTATGTCGTGATTGCTACTTCATATTATTCTATGTAATCTGATTTCTTCAATTCTTAACAAGTGGTATCAACTTACATAACTCTAGTTCGGATTCTAAACTAAAAACTGAATTCATAAATTGTAAAAAATTCATTTTTAATCCAATAATTTGCAGTTAAGAAATTGATATAATGCATATTAGTCCACCTCAATATTTAATGGGCGTCGTCACGGATTGACAGTTACTTTTACGAAAGAATGATCAAATATGTTATATTATTTAACTTTGATGACTAAAATAAGACTATAATGATAAATATTAAATTTCACATAAACTTGAGTGATCATTTTTTCGTTTTTTATGGTAAAAAAAAAAATTAATATTTCCACAGCTTTCAATTCAATTCAAAAATTTTATTCATTTTTCGTTTGCAATCTTCTGTCAGTCAATAGTGATTAAATTAATTTATGAATTTGTGTAAGAAACGAACTATTCTATGTGGAGCCTCTTCAACCATCATTAAACATTTTTTCTTTACCCCAAGGTATTTATCATATGAATGGATTTGTCCACAATAAATTGCATTGGTTCATATGGAATCTCTTCAACATTGTTTCTCCTCCAAAATGTATTTATCGAAGGAATATGTTACTTGTATATAATGTGGTGTCCATATGGTATCAATCTCCCTTACATGGAGGGGGACCCACTTCGAATACCGTTATGGATACCCTGATGTACGTGTAGTATCATCCTTTATCAAATGATTGGAATTTTTCTACACTAAATTGCATTTGTTCATAAGGAATCATTTTCAGTAATTATCCAGAATTACTTTTTCTCCAAAAAAGTGTTTGTTAAATGAATGGAATCTTTGTACAATAAATTGCGTGATTAATTGACTTCTTGAGCACAGTTGATTGCTAAAGTAGTAACCTTGGATCGAGAACTAGATGCTTAGCTTATTATTACGAGGGTGAATTACAATGGGGTTCCAAACCTTTCAAACTTTTACTGGCTATACCCAAACTTTTTAATTTTGGAGCTGGGATCCCAAATTTTTTTATTTCGATAGCACCTAGGGGACAAATTCATTACTTGACCACAAAATTAGAAAATTGACCTATTTTAACCAGTTAAATGGTCTTGGACCATCAATAATGATTTTTCTTTAGAATTCGGCTACGACACTTTTGATAACCCTTTTTTTTTTTTTTTTTGTTTCTTTTGAAATTTTTTGAAGTAATTTTAATTAATATTTGGGCTGATATCATTAACCGTGCTAACGTTGGTATGGAAGTTATTCATGAACATAATGCTCATAACATCCTTCTAGACCTAGTTTCTATCAAAATTCCATCTACAAATGGACAAGACCGGATCAGCTCGACCTTTGAAAACTCCAGCTGAAAGTGAACAATGCAATAAGTCAGTCCGACGATCTTTAATAGATTTGATTCACTTTTACATTACTTGGATTGTAATCTCTAATAAAAAAATATAGTTCATTTACCAAAAGCTCCTGTCATGATGAATCCTGCAATATATTAGTGATTAGTATATAATGCAGCTTGAAAAGTATAAACTTGTAAGTTTATGTTTCTTCAAATAAAATAATTAAATAAAAAACTTAAAAAAAGAAAAGAAAAGAAAGAAAAGAGAAATATGCACCCTATCGATCCACTCATCCACCTCATCTTCCCCAACCACCCCCACTCCATGCCAACCCAACCGCCCATCCCTCAACCAAAACCATATCAAACATTTTTTTTATGTTGTTTGATTATTTTAATTATTTTATTTCATAAAATGTAAGGTTACACTTTCACCCTTCATGTAACTAGTCAAAATAAGTCAATTTGCCTTCCAGGTGCAATCGTAATAAAAGGTTTGGAACCCCAGCTGGAAAAATAAAAGGTTTGGGTACAATTTACAACATTTTGAAAGATTTGGACTACTTAGAATTCTTCTTTACTATAAAAGGGAGAAATGGATAACGTTAATTAACAATTCAGGAGGTTCCACATATATTAGGTTATTTGTGAAGCAAGTTTATGAGTTACTAACATCAACTAATAAAAGGATCAAACTATTTTAAACATATTGAAAAACCTTTGAGTTGTTCCATGTAGCCCTACTGTATTTGTTTCATGTAGCCCTTCTATAACCTTTCTGGTTAATCATTGTGAAAAATTGGAGAAATTCAATGGTTTGATTTTAAAAGGTGGCTCCAAAAGTGTTTATCTGGTAAGGAAAAATCCTTAATTTGTTCCATATAGATTTTTTCCTCTAATTTTCATTCAAAAAGACCATTTTAACATGCATTTAATGTATTTTAAGATTTAGCCGAGCTATAATTGCAAGTATCTACTAAAGCCCTCTCGTTGCTAGAGAATGCATATCAAACTACTAAAGCCAGATTGTAAACTTTTATCATTAATCTAGGTTTATACTTCTCTATGGTTCAATCTGCTTTCATAATTCTCTTGAAAATCCATTTGTAACTTAGTGATTTGCATATTGGAGGAAGATCTCCCAGCTCTTATGTATGCTTTTGCAAAATAAAATTCATTCCATTTTTAATGCTATCTTTCAATTGAATTCCTTCTGAAGAGTTCACAACTTCCAAGTAGCTTCTAATTTAAAAGTGGTGCTATATAGATCTATAGGTGATGGCTTGGTGGGGTTGTGAAAGTGGCGGTAGTGGAGAATTTAGGATTTATCTGTAATGTTTTGAAAGATTTAGAACTATGATTGCAATTAATTAATTATTTTTTTTCTTTTCTTTTTGTTTTATTTCAATAGGAGGGTAAAATCGTCATTTTATTGAAAAAATGGATGAAAAGAACCTTTTGCGCAATGAAAGGTGAAATATAGGAGTAAAAATGCTAAAAATGAAAGGTAGGGACGTTTTGTACAATAATATTGAAAAGTAGGGACCTTTTCTGCTAATTATGCTAAAAAATAAAAGGTAGGGACGTTTTGCACAATAACTTTGAAAGGTAGGGACCTTTTGTGCTAATTACCTTTTTGATTTAACGGAGAGTTAACAGAAGGACGTTTTGCGAAAAAAAAGGTAAAGGTAAGGGTGTAATCCGCCAAAAAATGAAAGGTAGGGATGTTTTCCACAAAAACATCGAAAGGTAGGGATGTTTTGTGCTAATTACCCTTTTATTAATCCATACCAAATAATCAAAACACATCATTGTAATAAATCAAAGAAAAATTTTGAATTACATATTGCCCATCAAATAAAAATCATCTTACACTCCTCTTAAACAACAGAAAATTATTGTATAAAAAAAGATAATTTACAACTTGTTGTCTTCAAACCGTTGGATTGGATAGCTCTAAAAAATCCTTCCCGTTACTTTCTTCTTGGCCTGCACCTATCTTTTGAATGCAATGGGTAAATTCAACCTTCATAATCGCCACAGAGAAGCTTGTCCTCAAAAAACTCGGAACAAGTTTGAATCTGAGTTCAGATAATACAATAGAGATTTAATTATCTATTGAAATAAGTTAAAGGCTGGACAAAACATAAACTGGCTGAAAGCGTAGAATATGTAATATATTTTTATGAATGCATTGGTCAAGACTAAAATTGGTCCATAGACTGATGATGCTTGTACTTAAAGAGAACATGAAAATTCACAGCCAATATGTTACCAATCATACTTCAAGCAATCTACTCCAAAAACAATTTGATCATGATGTCACAAGAAAAAGAAAAGAAAGAAACAAAGCAATAATCAGAAAAGCTTTCTCACTAAAGACAGGTATGACAACTCGCGCAAATATTACTAAGTTCAATATAACATCTACTACGAAAACACTAGAACATAAAATGAAAGTCAAAATTCTTGCTGATAAATTTCATATCATGGCTAGCATCATGAATTGTTACTAATTCAAAAAATAGCTACAGGGAAAGGGAAAACAAGAATAATTCCATTGATACAGAGAACTATTGATAAAAATGATGCAAGTGTTGCGTCAACAGCATTTGAATGGTTCATTATCTATGTTGGTTGTGTAAAAAATCAATGAAACACTACAAGTGTCTTTCTTTAAGAATTCTGTCAAATTTTTTCTGTACTTGTTATAAAATTGGGAAAACAATTAGTCTTCATCAATACCTACACTACCTTACTAGACCCTACCAAAAACTTGGCCATTTACATCGTTACCTAACCACCACCACCACCTTGTCAGCAATAATAACCTTGGCAACATCCATTCATTTTTTCCATTTTAGAAAAACCATGATAAAATCTCCCTATTTAATCAGGAAAGAAATGGATTATATTTTAAACCAAACTAGGGATAAAATCATCATTTTTCTAAAAAATTGACTTCTCAACTGTATGATTTCCGAAAAAATGACCTCTGGTGCAAATGTTTGAAAGGCTTGAACTCCAAGTTTAAAATAAAAATATTGAGATCCCATTGTCATGACCTTCAGAAGTTCGAAACCCCATGTACAATTTACACTAAAAATTTAAAAGTCAACTACCATTTTCGAGCAATTGCGTCTGTAATTCCAAGAACAGACAAATATTTTACCCTTCACAATTTGCTCTGTTACCTATATAAACATGGTCATTGGTCCATGTGTATATAAATCAAATGCCATTTGCATATAAATCGAATACACAGTTCAGTGACACATTGGAATCAGAATAGACATCTGCCCTCTCCAATCCATACTATATGAATAAGAATAATCCCTTCCCATCATTAATGACCAATATCTCCGTGTAAATAATAGCATACAGCCCCTAGGATTTCCTTTCTCAATTTTCAAAGTTCTACAGAAAATATTCATCATATATGATATTAGATTCGACAGATTTAAAAGGAAGAATATAAAAATAAATCCATAAAGTTACATTTATGAATTTTTGTATGTATATGAAGACAAATAACACAACATTGATGAAGGCATTAAGAAGAAGTGGACCAGCAGAAAGAGTAATTACCTTTAGCAGTGCAAAAAACCCAGACACGAAGATCTCTTTCCAGTAGCATATAAGGATAGTCTTTAAGATTGAGGGTTCGACTGATGGATTGGTATGTTTTTGTCTGTTAAAAATCTCTGTGAATAGCAAGTAAGACGACTGTGCTCGATCATCCTCGCCCACTGTGCTCGATCATCCTTGCCCAACTTCGGTATATCCTCGTCCGCAAGAGTTTTCTCCCTTCCCCTTTTCATCAGTGGATTCAACCACCAAAATGACAGTTTACTGAAAAATCCGGCTTTTGCAAATAGAGTGACATCACTGACGGAATGAGTTTTACAGGCGCCATTTTCAGCACCAACCAGTGGAGCGTAAAGATCATTTTCATCATTATCTTCATATCTGTAGCTTGTATAAGTACAAAACAACAACAAACTAGATCCAACTAAAGACAGAACATCTAAAACTATCTTAATCAACAGCTTCTTTCTAATAACAGCAATAAAATGGATGCAGCACAAGTAATTTCGGCAAATATGAAAGCTAGAATGGATAACAGTCTCAGAGGAACTCTTGAAAAATACTGTCCCCTAAGGCTCACAGTTAAACTAACTAACAACCATATTAGTCCATGAAGCAAGAACATGGGCCACCAATGTAGAGGTAGAAGAGTTCGAGTGTTCCTCAACCTTTCTTCTAAAATCCAAATTCCCAAAGACAAATAAATCAATCCTAGGAGACCATTATAAATTTCTGAAATTAGCCGCAAATTTGATATGCCAAAAACCGAGGCAATCGTCTTCTGAGATTTTAACGATGTTTTGTAGAACATATTGAACAGGAGCATGAATAAGAGCAGAACATCACAACAAACTGTCAATGAATGATTAATACACATAAAGGGAGAGATTTAAATGCTAAATCATCACCACACCCCATTCCATTACCGTCTGAACAATTATATGCTCCACAAAACCCAGCCCATAAATCCTCCATCTCTTTTAATAACCTGAGTTGAACAGCAAAAAGAAATTCAAATCAGCAAGCAAACCCAACAGGAAGAAAATATAAGAAATCGACACTAGATATTACAATTATCTAACCAAAAATTTCTTATTCGAATCGAACGAGTTCACATATTGTCAGTCTCAAACCAACATAATCCTAAATTTAAAATAAAAAATAAATAAAAATATATCCAGTGATTTCGACTCACTTAATGCACAAGAAGCAATTAACCTGCAATTGAAAAAAAAATAAAAATTGCATGATAGATTAACTCAACACCAAAAAACAGTACAATAAAAGAGAAATGAGACATTTTATAATTCAATCTACTGTTACCTTCTTCGGAGAATTCGAAAACACCACCAATCCATTCATCGTCTTCGGTTTTTTCCTTGTCGTTGGAATTACTGCTACTGCCTTCCTCCTGATTATTTTCAACTTCGATTGTTTGGTGGGGTTTCCGAATATCTGGCTTATTACAATAGCCTTCCTTGAAGAACTGCCCAAAATCTACCGTTTTCTCCATTCCTGAAGGCATAAGAATGTCTTCAACTGAGTCGGTTGGCGGGGAGAGTGAAAACAGGGGCGGGAGAGTGAGAGAGGGGGAAGAAATTAGGGCCGGTTTGACTTTATACCAAACTAACAGGGTCGGGTCCGGGTCGGGTTTTGTATGATTTTATATTTAACGTTGAATCTAGTCAATTTACTATGAAGAAATTAATGAACATTGCCAAAGATACTTAACCGCAACGTTCATTGAACGTTGCTAAAACAAACCAACAACAACGTTGCGAAAGGAGGTTTTAGCAACAACCACTCAAATAACGTTGCTGAATCTTAATTTTCTCAACCAATGGCAACATGCATTTGCTAAATGTTGCAATAAACCTCTTTTAGCAATATACAATTTGTGAATGTTGCCATTTAAATGTTGTAAAAGGCCATTTTTCTTGTAGCGCATATTTGGAATTTTAAACTTATGTGCAAGAAATCTATAACTGTTACTATTATGTGCATACTAATACTAATAAAGATGTAATCTATAGTTTTTGGGCCTATTTTCAATTTCCTTGGCATGTGCATCTATTTTGGTAAGACATCACCATACTCGTAAATATTCATAGGAATATTTTATTCCTATCCAGAAACTCATAGTGACTTTTTTTTTTCGAAGCAACTTATTTAAAATATAATTTGTTGATAGCATAACTTCTCCCCACATATTACGAGGTAACCTAGAACTTAATAACATTGCACTCATCATTTCTTTTAAAGTACAATTCATTTTTCTTTTTCTTTTTCTTTTTTATTTAGCAACACCATTTTGTTGGGTGTAAATGATGTAATGTGCTTTCATGTGTGATTACCTATTGTACACATGATTCAACAAATGTTACTTAATACTCATTACATCGATTACTTCTCAGTATCTTAATTTTCTTATTGAGTTAATTTTCAACTTCATTCTTGTAGAGAACAAATATCTCTAAAATTTCGTCCTTATTTTTATGTTAAAGCACATAATAATATTTTGTGCTATCATTGACAAAACTGATGAAGTACTTATTACAACCTATTGTTTATAACGATTTAAATTCCATATATCACTGTGAATTAAATCAAGTGATTCTATATTTATTTCATTAGATTGAAATGATGATCTTATCAATTCTTCCTCAATAGAAGTTTTATACTTATTTTTGGAATTAATATAGAATGCGAGCATGCAATTCAAGTTAACTAATCTACGCAAAGTATTAAAATTAAAACATATCATAGTCTTTTAGCCGCAAATTAGAAGACTCAAACAAATAAGCAGAAGAATTAGCTTTATTTATTTTCTAATTAACAACTAGTACATAAAACTTAAAACAACTCAATAGATACGTAACCCTTACCAACAAACATTCTACTATTGGATAAAATAACTTTTTCTGACTCAAACACAATATGGAAACCATGGTTATTCAAAAGATAATCAATCAGTTACAAGGTTCTTTCGAATTTATGATCTATCAGCACAAAGTCAAGAGTCAACTCTTTTTCAGAAGTCATCTTCACAACTGTCTTCCATTCACAGTTGCTTCGAGTGAACATGACAACTCTTTATCAGAGCACAAAGCCTCATAGAGTCAGTGTTAATCCACCACTCTATTGAATTTGAACCTATTTAATTCACTTTAGAAACTACAACTGTGAGGCTCATTTTAGATGCATCATGTGCCATATAATCAACCATGTTTACTTCTTTCTTATTGTTCTTCTTTGAAAATCTACAATCCAAAATAGATCTATGATATTCTTCGTCACAGTTGAAGCATTTTTCTTAGCTTTAGCTATAGCTGGATTGAACCTGTTTTTCAGAATTTTTGTTTCTTCTTAAATTCGAACTCTAACAATCAATTTTTCAACGTTCATTTTCTTTTGCTTTCGCATAAAGTAATTCTTGAAATATTTCCATGTCGAAGGTAGTTTCTCAATAATATCAATTACTTGGAAATTTTCACTCAAAAACATCTATTCGGCATGAAACTTATGTAGAATCACTTAAAGTTCCTTCACTTGACTGATCATAGTTTTAAAGTTCACCATCTTATAATCTAGGAATCGGCTACAAATATATTTCTTAGCGCCAATATCCTTATTTTTATATTTTTTGTGTTAAAACTTCCATAACTCCTTATCCTTTTTCATCGTACTATAAACTTTGCATAGTGAATCATCCAAACTTTTCATGATATAATTGTGGTGTCGGAAATCAGAATATTTCCAACAATCAAGTGCATTGATAGCTTGGACATCTTTATCATCCTTATTAAAATTTGAAGCTTTCCCAATCATGAACCTTGCAAGATTCAAGCTAATTAGACAAAATATTATCTGTTCTCAGATTTTGAAATTCAACCCATTGAATTTCTCAGATTTTTCCAATGATTAATAGGGACAATTATATCATGGAGAGTTGTCTGAGTCACTGTCTGGGATATAATATGAGTTGGCAATTTAGGTACAATAGGTGTTACGGCATGACTTAGCAATTGAACCACAGTCTAGTATTTAACAGACACATCCATATGGATTCATTTGATAGCCATTTCTAAAAACTAAATAAAATACTAGTTCCTTAATGAAGATTAGATATAACCGTGGTCTGGTTTTGAGTAGCCACATACATATGGGTTCATTCAATTGCCATTGCTAAAAAGGAACAAATATTAGTTTATTAATTAAGCCTAGAAATAACCATATGTTGTTCTTTGATAGAATTTTATTTAAATATGTTAGTAGAGACATAGAATATGAATAAATTTAATAGTTAAAGAAATAAAGAACTACAAATAAGAGATGGAGGAAAAAATAGCAAATAAAGGCCTATGAATTACACAGTATTCTCAAAATATATTCGTCCATTACAATAAGTGTTAAGGTTTCGTTTGAGCGTCTATCTAGGATACAATGGAGAAACTGATAGAAATTGAGCATCGAGTTTCAACTCTGATAAACTAAAATTGATTTGAACTATCATCAAGACTTAGATAGAAAATGGAAATTTTAGGACACGAAGGCAAGGAAAATTTTGGACCTAGAGAAGTAAAGCTTTTTATTTTTCTTTGTTGGTGCGAATTAAGGAAAATGACCCCTGTTATAGGCTCCATGAATAATAAAATTAATTTCATATATTAACAAGCCATTTATAGCCTATTAACCATCTTAAGTTATCTACTAATTAAGGAGGAAACAGGGAAGTTGCTACTATTGCTGACACTACCATCTCAATAAATCAATTGACCCATTTCTTTGACAATTCAATCCAAAAGAATCAATTCCTTTTTCTAGTAATCATGTCTCTGGTAGCCTCAAATCTTATTTTTCTTCTTATATATATGAATACTTGAATTATTGATTCATGTGCCACTGATCATATCGCAAATGATGCAGCATCTTTGAATGATTTCTCACAAAATTCATCCAAACATGTTGTTTCAATAGCTAATGGTATTTCAATTCGCATTTGTGGATTCTAAAAAAATTGTAATGTTATTTTCCTCCTAATGGTGCTATGGTTTAGGATCAAACTTCTAGAAAAGAAGATTGGTGAAGCAGTCTACTCACATGGACTTTATTTGTTGAAATTATTTGTTTCAACTTCTCTTAATAGTGATAGAAAATTACGTTGCACATCAAAGATTTGGACATCCTTCTAGTCATGTTTTATCTATTTTTTGTTTTTGTCTATGACTTTTGATACACATGTTTGTGATATTGTCAGTTTTCCGAAAATATGCATCCACTATTTAATTATTTATCCATGCTGTTAAACCTTTTTAAGTTAATCTTATTTATGGAGCCATGTCGAATTGATTCATTCGATGATTTTAAATATTTTATGCTATTTATTGATAATTATTCTCGTGCTACTTTAATTTATTTACTGAAATTTAAGAAGAAGTTTACCTAGGTTTCAAGGATTTTCATAGCATGGTGGTCATTAAATTTGATAGTAAAATCAAGGTTTTCCATTTGGAAAATAGTAAAATCGACATATTTTGGAGGCTACAAGAGCCCTCACGCTTCAAGAAAATATTCCATAGAAATTTTAGTCACATGGAGTTCTTATAGCTTTCTATTTGAGAAATAGGCTTCCAAGTCGTGTAATCCATTTTCAATCACCATTTGAACTTAAAAGGAAGAAATTGTGACATGTTTCATCTTCAAGTATTTGGTTATGTTTGTTATACGCATGATATAAAAGGTACAGGAGGTAGTGGGGACACCAGACATTCTTTATTGCCAACTGTTAATTATATTCTAGAACATGTTATTGCAGCACTAGACGCTTCATAAGAGGTTCTTAGAAGGTCAAATCGAATGTTCAAGGCTCCGAAAAAACAAAGAACTTTGTTACTAAGGACGCTGTAAGTCATGCTATACATGCTTATTTATCATAGTCTAATGTATCTTCATCTCATTCAACTTTTTTAACTTCATTGTCATTAACTTAAGAGCCGGATAATTTTAGTGACATAATTTCCAGTCCTATTTGAAAACAAACAATGCAAGAAGAGTTACAAGTCCCTAATGACAACAAAACTTGATCCATTATAAAACTCTCTCCATGAAAGAAGGCAATTGGATGTTGTTGGGTTTATTAAACAAGTTTCAAAGAGATGGATTTGTTAAATAACATAAAGTAAGTCTTGTTACAATAGGTTTCACCCAAACTTATGGAGTTTATTACAATGAGATATTTGTTCTTGTATCAAAAATGAACGCGTTTTCTTTTTTATTATTTATTATTTATTTATTTTTAAATCTAGATGTCAATTAACATTAAAAATTGTTTTAGATGGATGTGTTTAATGCATTTTTACATGAGGAACTTAAGGAAGAAGTTTACACGAGTATATCTCCAAGTTATCTATTGGAGAGTCGTAGTGATCTCATATGCAGATTAGGAAAATCCATATATGGTCTTAAACAATCACTTTGTGTATGGTACATCAAACTCAATTTGCTCTGGTCAAGAATGGTTTAAAGATGAGCAATGCTGATTTTTCCTTATTCGTGAAAAGATGTATGATTTGTACAGATAT